ATCTGTAAAATGAGAATAATAATGATTTATTGTAGAGGCAAAATCAAATACAATAAAGTTTGAAAGCACTCTGCAAATTAGAAGTGCTTTAAAAGATAAATGGTGTTGGCAATACATATAAACTACCAATAGGAAACACATGGCTGTTTTTTTTCTTAATTTGCTTCTTGTTTAGATAAGATGGAATAAAACCCACCTTCGATATAAGTAGCCTCCTGCAAAATGTGTATTTCACACACTGCTTCAGTTTGTAATCCTCTTCATTCCTTGTCACATGCATAGTAAACCTTCTTTAAAGCAGAAGTTTAAAATTCTAAAATGTGCTTTTCATTTTGTTGCCAAATACCCCAAACCATCAAACAGTCTAAGAGTTCTTTTGCCCTTCTCCAATCTGGAATTCATTCTCACAACTTTTTATGTTCAGAGGCATTGGTTGAATTATATATTTTAAACTTCAGCTGGGGACAAGTTAACAGCTTGCAAAGAGAATGCACTACAGGGTTTTAGAACTACCCATAAAAAATTCTCATACTTCCATTGATTAGGTCTCCTGTTAATCTCCTTCTGGCATTACTTTCCTTACTTAAGCAATTGGCAGCTGGCTGTGGGATCACATTCTCCTACTTTTGGTTATGACACCACTAACCTTAACAGCAAATGATACTCATGTTAGCAGTGTTAACCATGATATTGGTTAGGGTTCTTGCAACTAAGAATCAAACATAATGCTTAACTGGGATTACAGCAACTAGTATAAATTCATATTTCAGGAGAGGTTGGAAGGTACAAACATACAGTTCTGCAGCCTGTGTCTACAGTTTGGTCACAAGCTACGGACACACCCTCCTTCTCTACCTTTGTTTTCCCTCACTCTTCTTTTCCCCACCAGGTAGTTTTTATTATGAAGTGTTATATTTGTATCTGCATAACCATGGTTACCATTAACCATACATAGTTAGCTTCCTAGCCAGAGATTGAAACCAGTTTCTAATTCTGGTTTCAGTAATTGATTTAAAAGCCAAATACATGATCTTTGCAGATTTCCAACCTTTCCACAATTTACAGATACTATGTGAACATATATAAACCATTTAATACAGAACTCATACTTTTCAATGGCCAGAATAGAAAGACATTTCACTCAACTGTGTACATACTCTGACTTTATCATCTTAAAAATGTGAGAACTTGCATGTCAGTTTTAAACTATATGGGTTGTTTCTTTTGCAAGGTGCACTTTTATTGTTTAGCAAACCTGAGTAAAGGCACATTTTTCCTCATCTGTTTGCATTCTATGGTCAGATCTTAGTAATCACTTTATTCTCAATCTCTAATAATAAAATAAATCATATACAGGTCACATAACTATATTGACTGTTTCCCAGCCTTTTGAAGGGGCACTTCAATGGCCCAGTTGAGAACCTCTATGCTAATATATTAGAACTGGGAACCAGTTTATGGAGTGTTCTTTATAAGAAGTGAGATATGTAAGCCATTTAATTTTCTAGGCTTTAGCAAACCTGCAAATTAAAAATTAAGTTTGCACATGTGCAAAAAAGTAAGTTCACAGCATAAACTATAAAACAGAAAACCTCGTTTCTTCCTGCTCAGATTTTGCCATTTCTTAAGCAAGTTTGCATTAAGTAAACAGCAGTTGGCCTAATAAGGACGGGGTTTTACAGGGCCCAAATACTTTGACATGCACGCATGTTTACTTAGAAGTAAATCCCACTGAATTCGATTAGGTTTCCTTCTAGATACGGGGTCTAACAATCTCATTTTTTCTTTGAAAAATATTTTTAGCTCTAATCAAGAAGCCAATCATCGAAACGAGTTTTAAATGATTTTTTAAAAAAATTAATATCATCAAATGCACTTTTAGAGTCCATTCCTCCACCATACCAGGCAAATGAGGCCGCCCTAGGCCCTAAGCCACATTGTCACTTTTGTTGTTCAAATGATAATGAATTCGAACAAGGCAAAGAAGCGCCTCTCTGTCTCTGGTGGAGTCGGAAGGAAGGCGGGAAAAGTGGGTGAAATCGACGCCTTAATAAGTGTTTGCTCAAATGTAACTCGTTCTCTTAAGTGAGATGCATGATTATTTTGTCCCGGCGCCCCCTCCCCGCGTGTTCTGGGTCAACTTTTGTTGTGTTTGCTAGATAAAGGGGCATGGACTCTGCCCCGGGGTGAAGAGGCCAGAGCCGGGAGGGGGGCAGCTGAGACGCTTTCCTCCCCCATGGAGGGAACCAGGAGGATTTCTCTCGCACAGGGGAGAGGGGAAGGGAAGCGATGGGAAAGAATAGCTCGGGGGCCTCTTCGCGCCGCCTCTCTTCTAGGCCAGCGGGCAGCCCCCAGCGGGCAGTACTGGTGAAGTCCCGGTCCCGATGGCCTTTGAGGCGTTTCTTTCTGCGGTGACTCCCTGTCATCGTAGCCTCCGAGAGGTTTTCCTCGCGCTCTTTAGCATAGCCTCCCTCATGTCTTCCGAGGCCCCCTTTTCGCTAGTGAAGGCCCCGTCCTCGTTGCCCTGAGGCAGTCCTTCATCTGTGACACCTTTGTCCTCGTCACCAATGAGGAGCGTCCCTGGTGAAGCCCCTGACCTGGTTGCCTCTGGGGCGCGTCGTTCGCCAGGGAAGCCCCTGCCCTCGCCGCCTTTGGAGCCTGCCTTCCCCTCTCTTTGCTGAGCCCTTGAAAGCGCCTTTGAACTCAGCCAACTTCCCCCCGCTTGCTCCTGTCCTGCAGCCGCCCTCCTTCTTCGTCCGTGTGTTGTGCCCATGGGGTGTCCCCTCCCTTCTGTTCCGGTGGCTGCCATAGTGATGCGTGGAAGCAGATTAGCCTCCTGTCCCGGGGGGGGGGGGGCAGCGGCAGCCACAGCGGGCGGAGCAGGAGTGTGCTTTTCTGCTGCGGTTCCTCCTCCTGCTTCTCTTCAATCGGTGTGAGGGGCTTAGGTCGTTGCCGCCGCTGCTCTTTCCTAGCCTGACCCAGAGGGGCTGGCCGGTGCATTCAGCAACTCAGCCCTCTCCCAGGTAACTGCTGCTGCCAGGATGGGGGATGTGGGTGGGTAGCCAGAGGGGGCGAGGACATGACTGCCCCTGCTTTCTTGGACGCGGAGATATGTTTTCCATTCGTTTTCTTCTTTTCCTTTCGCTTTTCTGGGACTGGAAAGGGGAGCCTTGGCGCCTAGCAGGTGCCTCTGACACAGTCATCGAAAGTTGGAGCGAGCTGAAACTTTACAAGGGGGAAGGAGGAGGGAGACGTCATCCTTTGCCGGCCAGTGAGGAAACGATTCTTTGAATGCATTTTTTAAATTACAGCCGCATCTGGCAAGGGGTGAATTTTGCGCTGCTGAAAAGGGTGGATCTTTTAAAAGTACGCATATTAAACAGCGAGTGCCTAAAATTATAGTACTTTAAATGGTAACTTTAGCCCTCCCTTTCCACACCTCGCCCCCCCCCGCCCGCGCTTTATATTTCAACCTTTTTAGTCTGTATGACATACATTTTTATACACGTCTAGTCAGCAGTCTACACTGTGTTCAGTGGTCTTTATTCCTAATTCAGTGTATTCAGGAATATGGTTTGTAAAACAATTTTATTGTGAAACCTTTCTTACACACTTTTTTGTGCTTTAAAATATAAACAGTAGAGAAACATGCTGGTGAGTGAATACGTGAAACTGAAGGCCTTCACAATTATCTGAAGTACTATGCGAGACCCTTTTAAACCAGCTTCCTGTAAACATTTAGATTTAAGTGTGAAGTAATCACTCCTGTTACAGTGGGGTGGTTAAGCTGTGATAATTTGAATAGGGTAGCAGGAAGTTTCAGAAAACATGTTAAATATCTCATGGAAACCCACACTAAAAATCGTGTTATCCTCAGGTAAATTTTTACATTAAAGAAAATGAAAAGTATATATAAGGGAAGAAAATTGAATTAATCAAGGGTAAAGTTAATTGTGAAAGGTAGGTATTAGGAGTTTCCAGGATTTTATATTCTAGCCTTAAGCAATATATTTTAAGTTGAACTTTTAAAACAAATTTTGAAAGTTTAATGTGTGTTTTAATTTCTAATGATCCATTTTGTGTTTGTTTATGTGAATTTCTAAGATGTTTCATTTCAGCTGGGTGGGTTCTTTTTTTTTCTCTGTCTTTCTCTTTAATATTTATTAAATCTTGATTCTGAGTGTGTTGGCTTAAAATATTTGTTATTTTGATTTTAGGAATTCAGATTATGCCCCTCAGCAAGTTTCCAGAATGGCTTACAAAGGATTAAAAGCTGTGAACAGGGCAGCTTTCTGTATTCCTGCTTCTTTGAGTTGCTTCTTCGCAACTTCATTGGTTGCTAAGGGGGCTTTACTTCCTGTTTATAAATTAGCTCAAAAAGTTCACATGATCAAAGGGATGCCTTCCAATGAGAAGCAGCAGATCCAGCAAAGGGTGGTCAATGCTCAAAAAAGTTTGATTGCAGCCTCTCTGTACTGTGTACTTAGTGACCATTTTCTGGATCATATCTGTATGCCTTCATTTAACAAGGGGTAAACGTAATCAACATTGGATCCAGCCTTTTTCCTCTTCCTAAGCCCCCCCACATGTGATGTGTGCTGTCAGAGACAACAACACTGAACATTGTTACAGGAGATGCAAAGATCCTTTGGAAAAATGCAGCAAGAGGATTTGGGCACAAAAGTCAAATCTTCCAAATTGTCCTCTAAAAGGCTGGTTTCAAAATTCAGTGAGAATATATGGCAAAGTGAACAGGTAGATCTTGGTAAAATAAATATATATATATTTGCTGGATTCTGCCTAGTATCAGTATCTGAGCCAGCACAGCAAACACATACAATATTTTTAATTAATAGCTAGCCTAATCTTGGTGTCATTCTCAAAGTCTTCCCCTGTTCCAAAAGAAAGCCTTGTTTAAGAATTTCTTGTATTTTATACAAAGAACCTCTCTTTTCTGTAGAGAAACATGCTAAATACCAGCTTTGTTTTCTTGGTTGCAGGCAGTGCAGACTACTGGAGAAATAAATTCACACAACATATGTGAAAACAATAACCCCAAAAGATGTGCAACTGAGGAAAGGCTTTGGTTTGGAGAGGATGGAGAAGACAAGGTTTTGGATGTGAGCTACAGCTCTCTCCATTCTCATGCTTATGCCAGTAACATGACAACATATCAGAATGGCTATGGAAATGGCACCTCTATTACCTATATAGCAATGGATAATAAGGAACTGAAGAAAAATACTACCTCATTATGTCACAGTGGAGAATGTGACACAAGCAGCAGCTGTGAAAATGAAGTCCAGGATGATAAAGCCAGCCCTTCCAAAATAATGCGCTTTTTCTCCACGCCTCGAAAAAGATCCAGCTTCAATGTTGAAAGGCCTCGGTCTTTGATTGTTATGGGGAACTCCTCAACATGGAATGCTTTGTCTTCCTTTAGAAAAATGGGGTCTTTCAAGAAATTGAAATCCTCAGTTCTCCAAGGAATTCCAGCCAAGGAAGACTTGGATAGCTTAAACAATAGTATGCCAGAGAACAATAACAGAAAACATGTCCCAAACAGTACACTGGTACGAGTTCAGACAAACAGGTATTCTTATTCAGGGCCCTTACACGACTTGCATAGCACAACAGATGACACTTTTGTTTCTGATAATTCTGAGGGAGAGGAAAGTGATGATTTCTTCCTGAGGAATACTCATCGGTCACGCAGTATCCGGCGTGCTTATGGGACTGGTCGTATAAACTTATTAGACACTGATAAAAGTCAGAGTTATCAGGACAGTACCAGGACAATTTCCCCTGTCCAGGAACCTCAAATTTGTGAAATTGTAGTGAAAGATTCTGAAAGCAGTAAAGTCATCTACAGAAGGAGCAAAAGCACAGATAACCTCAACTTTCTCAAAAAGAGTTCATTCAAAAGGAAGTCAATCTCAAACCTTTCTGATCTCAAAGCTGTTAGTGAAAAGCAAGTTGCGCAAAGGACAAGCACTTCTTCAGCTGACTCAGACAAAGCCAACAGGAACTCAGAGCGAAGATCAAAACGCTGGAAGAGCCCAATAAGAGCAAAGGATTTCGACAGAGTTTTGAAACTTGTCAGTAACGTCACTGATATTGCATTGAAGAAAGACAGTTCTAAAAGTGAAATTCCCTCTTCTAGTGAACAGAGCCAAAGGACAAGACCAAATAGTAGACTGCATGATGATTATTCACGTAGGGCTTCTAGCAACACTGAAAGTGACCGGCGGAGGTGTCTCCCTCCCAAGTGTAGCCCAGACTCAACTGTTTCCAGATCAAGCGTCCAGAGTTCTGAGGATGATAATGCTGGCATGAATCTATTAATTCTTGACACTGGTGACCATAGGATATCATCTTGCGACATCTCAGATTCCCTTCATTCACCACCTGCACTTAAAGACATTGGACCAATTCCTGATGAAGTGTTTTATGAAGACTCTGATAAGCCTAAATGTTCCAGCCAGGTTACAGGCAGCTCTGAGCAGCCCATCCTTCCTACTAGACCTGTTGCACCTAAGCCTCAGAGCCCTACTACTGAAACCATTAAGTGCAATACGAATTTCCATTGTCCTGACCGCCACAGCACCTTGTCACTCAGCTCAATGGAAAGCGAGGAAAGAGGGGAGGGGCCTTCTGCCAAGCTGGAGAAGAGCCCTGTTTGCTTCCAGGACTCTGTGCATGCGGTATACTATGATGATATGAATGAAGACAGTGGCATCAGCAGTCACTCTCAGCTGAGTCTCAATTTAGCTCCCAGTGCTGATGAAAAGAAGGAAGAGGTAAGAAAGTCATGTCTTTCATGAAAGCAGTAATGCCCTACTTCCCAGGTAAATTAAGCATTGGTTTCTTTGTAGGTATAATGTCAGGTGGTTCTGTGTGTGTGTGTGTGTGTGTGTGTGTGTGTGTGTGTGTGAGAGAGAGAGAGAGAGAGAGAGAGAGAGAGAGAGAGAGAGAGAGAGACTCTCTTACACTCCTATCATTTACTCAGGAGAAAGTCTCACTAAGTACAGTGGCTTACTCTCAGTGAGTGTGCATAGAATTGCTGCCTTATACAGTTCTTTTTAGAAGGTAATATCAAGTTATTTTGCCTTCCTGTGCACATTACTAAAGAAAACACTGTAGATTCTTTGTATACATTTTCAAGGGCTGTTTGCATGCATAGTACTTTGCGACAGGTTCAAGACTGAGCAGGATCCAACTAGCGGAGCTCTTGCCTAGTGCCCTGGTAAGGGCTACTTAGTGCAAGCCACATGGCAGGTATGATGGTGAACTGGTAAGTGACCTTGCACTCAGTCTCAAACATTCTATGGTCATACACAAGGCTGCATAATGACAGATGCCACACACATAAATCTTAATACAGTGCTGCAGTTTTATGGTATTTGATCAGCAGTGTGTGTTGGTAATTTATTTAGTTTTGCATAGATGTAATATGGTTCCAGTAATTATGATGTTCTCATGTACTGACTGGAGTGGGGTTTTTTTTTTCATTTTAATGATTTCAGAAGCTTTCCTTATCACCTCTCTCAACACCCCATTCTAAATACCACCTGGATGTTTTAGAATAGTTAACATAATTTAAAAAATACTGCAATGATTAAGAAATGCTCTAGTCACTTCAGTTTTAGGGTTTCATCACAGTTTCAGTGTTTAGAATGTCATATCTGGTATTAGACAAGGCATTTCAAGAATCCTTCTTTTTAAAATACAGGCTTTGAGCCCTCAGGGTTGGAGAGAATGGTGTGAAAGTTTGTCTAGTGAACATTAAAAGCCAGTAGTTCAAGTGGTTTGGATTTCAAACTAGATTTAAGTGCCAACGACACCTTTTTTCCATTTATGTTGTCCACCAGTCACCATCTATATACTCCCCCCACTTCCTCTTTTCCCTCTGAAACTATATACCCTTCCTGGAAGTTTGAAAGTACTTTGAAAAACTGAATCCTGGGAGTAGAAATATATTAAGTGATATGTTAACATGTATTTTAATTTCCACAGTTTATTCCAGGAGCAGTATTTAGACCTTTTGTACAATGTGAATACAGCCATGCTTGAGAAGTATTGAGACATGGCAATACTATATCCTTAACAAAAATCACAGGGAGTTTGTAGAAGAGTAGATAAGAGTAGATTTTATTTTGCTTCTTGTTTCTTAACCTGCAACACATACTGATACTTATATCATTGCAATATCATAGGAAGGTTAAAAAGCAACTCCTAGTTAAGTTGAGGGGCTGTTGCATTTCTTTCCTGTTAGTGTGTTTATAATTCAGCTGTAACTCTGTTGAAGTTTTCTGGTAAACCTGCCTCTTACATCATTGATTATTTCTTCAAAGTCCAGTTTAAACTAAAATGTCTAAGTGTATTATTATTATTATTATTATTATTATTATTATTATTATTATTATGTAGTTGTGTAAGGCATTGTTGAAATGTTGTGGATTCACAAAACTGATAACTGTCTTGTATTCTGAAAGCATTCATTACAAACCCAAGGAAACTACAGTTCCTCTGATTACTCTTCTCTTTGCAAGTTACTTTAAGATTTGTATGGTGGTTTGACTCGCTTCATGAATGACACAAATCACAGTTTTTCAGCCAGGTTTGGGTACTTCCACAGAGTTTAATATTTTGCCATGCCTTGGGTCTCACTGAAGCCACTGTAATAATTAGCTGCAATTTGACAGGCATCTTTATTATGATACTACTTTGAATAGCTTAAGCAGTTTATACTGCATATGGGGGAAGATCCTCTAGTACCATGGTTGAATCATATAGTGACAGGAAGAAGGGGGAAAAATGTAGTCTACTTTTCAAACTGATCCAGTTTCAAAGTATAAATAAATCTAAGGGCTGCAAAATAATTTTGGACATTAAATCATAATGCTTCAAATTGCAACTGTTTTTATATTCAGCTATGAATCCCACACAGATTCTGTCCTAGTGCAGAGTAATCAGATGTGTATAAATATGTTTATAATTCTTCTGGTTCCTTCAGCATAGCATAGTGGGAGAGCCCATGCTTCATATTCAGAAGGCCTCATATTTAGTCCTTGGCATCTGAAGCTAGAAAGATATGAAGTAGTAGGGCTGGGAAAGACCTTTACCCAAGGTTCTGCTGTCAAGTAGACAGTAGTGCACTAGGGGACTTGTATGATTCATTATAAAGTAGCTTCATGTTTTCAGAATCTGTATTTTGCTATGATACAGAGCCCTTTGTGTGTCATATTTTCTGGACCGTGGTCTTTTGTGCTATCAGTGATTTGGTGGAGAAGCTATAAATACAGATTTAATTGTCTTCCTGCATGAGAATCTGAGACATTTTGATGAAATCAAAGAAGTTTTGTGTTCCCAGTTCTGAAAAAAATGTTGCAAATGATAATACATGTAGGGATATGAAAATAAGGAATACATAAGGTGCTGGCAGTTGTCATACTTGATAAATAGGTGCATTCAGGCTTTAAAATAGTTTTATTCTATTGTATCAGAAACTAGTTTGGAATACTCCATTTATGCTCTCAATCTGCCATCTTGTGGTGAGAGATGATAAGGCTCGAACTGTTATACAAGTTCGACTGCTTCATGTCTTCTTGGTTTGGAATTTATCTAACATACCAGTGATCCAGAAAGCATGCTAAGATACACACAATGGCGTTATTTTACTTACTAGGAATTCTGTTCTTTTTTTCCCTTTTCATTTCTTTGAGACCCTACGGCAATGCTGTGAAATACATGTGTTTCTAGAGCACTTTGATGTACCACATCTAGAACATCTGCTTAGATTTAAAAAGAAAATCTCCAAGGCCCTTTGGGTCTGCTATATTAGCTATTCAGTTCTCAGAATTATGACTCAAAGAGTAAAGCTTGTCTAAGACAAAGATTTTTTTTTATTCTTCTCTGCCTTCCCACCAACCACATTTATATTTTAAAGTCCTTGAGCCAGTGATCTGTCTTTTTGCTTGTGTTGCTTCGTATTTTGTCATGTATATTATTGATGATGCTATATTGATCATAATAATGGGTGATAATGATAAAATGTTGAGTTGCCTAGTTATTATGCTGTAGTTATTTTGGAGCAAAGTACATCTCATTGTTATTTTTTAGCAATGTTATATGGTAGCTATTTGGCTTTATTTGCAATCCAGAATAAAACTTAGTGCATTTTATTTACACTCCATTATACTAGCCTGAAGATTCTCTGAGCAGATTACAATTTTAATCTTGCTCAAAATCACCGAGTATTCAAATTTGCTGTGCACAGAATTGTAGTTATTATATATAATGAGCTGAGCAGGGCTTTGAAAAGTTTTTACAGTGGTGTATGTAAATTAAGATGATTTAAATCAAGTTTTCCACTGAAACTTTTTCGTATATTTCTTGAACAATGGTGCAGATTGGTCCACTAGACCAGTGATTTTCAACCACCGGTCCATGGACTGGCACCAGTTCGGGGGAGATTTCCTATTGGTCCATGGGGAGGCTGCATCCTACTCGCCATGGCCTGGCACAGGGGCTGGCTGTGCACCACCACCTCTTCCATGTTCACAGGGGGTGCTCCGGGGGGCCAGGGAGAGGAGAGATGGCTTGGTGGGAGCTGACTGGGAACTATGCTGCACTGTTTTCTGTACTTTGTTCTTTTGTTGGCATTTTTTGTTGCTCAGTTTCTGGTTTTTTGGAAAATTTTCATTATTTTGGTTATTGTGTTTGGAAATGAATACACAGAGTACTGTATTATGTGTATGGTCCTTTTTGTTTCTGCCTCAGTGGTCCCCAAGGTGGTTTTCCTGTTTTTGTTGGTCCCCAGCTGTGGAAAGGTTGAAAACCACTGCACTATGTTAACTAGTTAGATTAGTATATATACTTTCATTCTTACAAGTAGGCTTTGCATCTCTTCATGTTGCTATGTTGCATGACATGCTAAGTCTCCCTGCAAAGAAGTTACATAGTATGGGTTGTTTGTGGAAAAGAACCACAGTGTGCTCAACCGGATGATCAGGCTCATTGTGGCTTGTTCTCCCACTTCTAGCACTGTCCTAATATTCTTCACCACAGGACCTGTCTTGCTGCCTGATCTCTGCTCTAATAGCTATTCCCTTTTTTCCCTTTCCTTTCCTTTTTTTTTTTTTTTTTTTGGCTGCTGTTTTCTGTGTGTATTTCTGGAGTCTTAAAAATGCTTGACTGGGGTTATATATTTTCCAGCCCCAGAAAACTCTGCAGTTCCTAGTAATTTGTATTAACTTATTTACTGTCTTTCACATTTGCATTCTTATGGCTGCCGGATATCTGAGTCTTGCTTAGTCAACTTCCCTCTTTGTTTCATCTGGCTTTTCCACCTTCCACCTTGCCTTTCAATTAATAGCTAGACAGTTTCCCCCTCCCCCACCCTGACAACTGTGGTCAAATTAGCCTATTTGGAGTCTCATCTTGTCATTCTGCTGAATACTACATTTCACAGCTCCGTTTTTTTACAGATGAAACAGACAGGGAAATAATGAGAAGACTACATATCTAGATAGCCCATTGACTCCAAAAAGGAAGCGACAGCCTAGAATTTAGAAGAGCTGAGCAGGGCTATTGTGGATAGGACCTTTCATTCATAGGGTTGCCAGTAAGTCAGCAATGACTTTGACAGCACTTAACAACAAAGAACTTGTGCGTGAAAGATAGCAAATAATAATAATGAACACCTTTGTATAATTTTCTGGGGCCAAAAATGTATTTTAAAAAATTGTAGAAGTGACTGTCATGTTAAAGTACCACTTAGACAACAGTGGAGGAACTG